TTATTTATCTAATATATTGGGACCCCAGATGAGATGGATTAACATGATAACTGGGACAATGGAATTAGATATGTTGGAGTCCATGAGACTGGCTCAGGATAGGGCAGGATTCAGAGTTATTATACATAGGGTTGCTATGAGTTGTAGATGACTCAAAGGCACATAACAATATGTTAGAAAATTCTGCTATTTTGGTCCTGATATTCTTGATTGCTTTTCCATGCATTTCTGTTATTTACAGTACTGCGTTGGTATACTCTTTATATTGTACTAACTTTTCATGTAACTCCACATCAGTATTTTTCTGGCTTCCTGTCTCTTGATTCGCTTTATGTTTTCAATTCTTTCCTCCATCTTTTGTAACTTCTTAAGTAGCTGTTTACATAACTCTACATTGATCTATTTCTTCTGTCTCCCAGTCTCTTGGGTATTCATTGAATCTGCAATCTATTCTGCTTTTTTGGAGAAGCCTTGTTTTATTTTTTACCCATAGTTGTTGAAGCTACCTATTTCTTTCTTCATGTTATGTGACGTTCTTTTTGGTATATATGTGGTGGTTTCTGTTGTGTCTATGTAAGTTGTTGACAATTCCTTATGTTTATGATGCTGTTGGTAGGTTGTAGACTTGAAGTGTTGCCTCCACTTGAGTTTCCCAGTGTTATCTTCTATCTTGGTCACTTATGGGTAGATTTGTTTCCTGTTTCCTGTGGGAAGCTTCTCATCTAGTTGTCCCTGTAGAGGAAAGGAGGTAGGGTCTTTCCCTTTACCCAGCTGTGATTGGCCCACTTCTCTGTCCTGTCCTGTAGTTTAATGGGAGCTGGGAGTTTTTCTTCAGGATATATGACATCCTAGGAGTGCTTGCAAAGATATACTGCTCAGGGAAAAGGTCCAGGAAAGTGATAAGTTCCCAGTAGCATCCAAGATCAATAGGTGCTAGTGACCATGTACCTTCTCCTCTCCTTGGGGTGGTTGGGGTGATGGCTATTAATACCTAAGCAAACAAAGGCTGAGGGAAATGGAAGCTTCTCAGTGATGCAGCTTTCAAACTTTCAGTTAATGTACAAACATACATGCATTTTCTCTTCAGAAGCCATTGGTTGGAAGGGCAGCTATTCCTGCCCAAGCAGACAAAGGCTCAGGGAAGCACCAATATTTTCAACATCATAGTTCCCAACTCTGGTTACCCTCTTACATTTAGATCCTTGAGTCTCCGATGCCAGTTGGCAGGGTTGCTGTCCCTGCCCATCAGACAAAGACTTGGAATCACTAAACTTTGAACAATACAGTTGCCAATTCTTGCTGCTAATCTCCATTTGAGTTTTCATTAAAATTTTTTCCAATGAATAAATTATTGACTTTATAAAATGCTATTATTCTATCTCCTCACTCATTTCTGTCACCAAGTCCGTATTTACCAATTACAGTTCTTTCTTCTTTGATCCCAATTTTTGTATTCCAGTGACTTGATGGCACTTAACAACAACAGTGATCAGTTATTATTAGTGAATCTTGATTTCCTATTCATTTGATTTCAGACTATAAAAGTTATTAGAAATCTTCTATTTTCTCCTCTTTGGATTTAGTTGCTGGTGCATGTATTTGAACAATAGTGGTCCTGACAGGTCTTCCTTGCATGCAAATAGGTAGTATCCTGCCAGTCCAAACCTTGCACTTCAGGGTGGATCTAGAAATGGTCTTTTTGACTATGGATGCAACCCCATTTTTCCTCGCTTTTTAATTGCCAGAATAGTAGATCATATGATTTACTTCTAGGAGAAATGACCCCTCTTGACAACATGGCCAAAGTATGTGAGACAGAATTTTAAAATTCTTGCCTCCAGGGAGCATCCTGGTGTCACTCTCTCTTAGACAGACTTGTCTGTTCTCTTTGCAGCCAATTATCTCTTCTCCAGCACCACAGCTCAAATATATTGATTGTCCTTCTTTCATCTTTCTTCATTGTCTAATTTTCAGATGCATAGCAAGCAATGAGAAGAATATGATATGGATCAGACACACTTTATTCTTTAGACTGATGTTGCTTTTTAAAGCACTCTGGAGAAGTCCTTGACAGCAGATTTTACCAATGAAACTTATGTTTTGATGTCTTGATCGCTGATGCCGAGGTTATTGATTGTGGATTCAATCAAGATAAAATGATATAGCATATCACTTACTTAGCATTGAAGAATATGACAAGCAGTTTTGTATATACAGTTTTTAGAATATTTAGTAGCACATGGTAAATATCAAATAAAGTATAAATTTATAGAGGAAAAATGTGTTTGGAGAGGATACATTGGGTCTCAACTATTGTGATAATGTTTTACTTCCTGTTCTAAATTACAGATGAACATTTATTTTGTCATTATTTACTTTTTACAATAAAATACATTAAAGTAGAAATACTACGTAAGATGTTTAAAACAAACAGTAATTCAGTAACCTTCTCATAGAGGTAGTTGCTAAAAATAATAACAATTAAAAAAGTAAGATTTTATAAGGCTTAATGGTTATTAGGAGACTGTAGATGGTTTGATGGAGCTCTCAACTTAAAAAAAGCTTGGAAGCAGGGGTGGCATCCACTTCAGAAATAGCTTGCCTCCAGAAATTCTATGAACTTAGAGAAATGATGAAAGTTATACGTGTTTAAGACTTTCATTTGTAGGGTTGCTATGAGTCGATTATGATTTGACCCCACTTAATGACAACAACAACTACTACTAAGTGCAAGGTACTCTAATTACACTCAGAGATACATGCCTGAACAAAAAGCCTATTGCAAAAGGAGCAGATGCAATGTAAAATGGCTCAGTTTGACTTCTTCTTTCTTCATCAAGGGAAACTTTCCCCATCAATAAGACCTAGAGTACCATAAATATAACTATATAGTAAGCTATGCCACCTCAAGATGCTCCTGTACCTCTTTCTATGAATTTTTTGATCCAATGTTCATTACAGATTAACTAACAGATTTTGTTGACAAAATAGTTTGGGGAGTGGAGTAAGCAAAAAAAATATCACATAATGCAAGTCTAGGTTTAGTCCATCAGTCCCAAGCCAGATAAACAGCAAGACACAATTACTCATTTCATTCAGACATCTTCTCAGTCAACAAGTGAAAATCTAGGTTTGGTTCAGCATCACTAATAAACCTTGGGTTTCCTCAGTTACCCAGCAAAATTTATCTCAGAGCAGTTAGAAGTCAGCTTTCATTCAGTCATCAGCAAGCAAAGTCATTAATTGTGGCTCCATCACCAGGGTTCCTCACATTAGACCTTTCCACAGTTACTTCACAGCAGTGCTACAGTTTCTTCACCCTTTGTCTACCACACCTGTCACGGTGTCTTCACAGTCCTTGCACAAAATGTGCAAAGCACTCTTATGTTGGTACTACAGCTGCTGATTATTTGCAAGACCGTGTGTCTGTAGTTAAGATCCCTGGAGATCGTATTCCCCAAAGGGGGCTAACACAATGGCTATAAATGCTAATTTTCAAAGTTTTGACACCACAGACTACCTCCTGGATTTTCTAGCAATTATTTCTCAATATCTGAAGGACCAACTTTCCCTTTAATGTCAGTAATATTCATGGAAGTATGTAAGCCATCTATTGTACTCTTAATACCCCTGTTTTAGATACTCAGTTTCTGATTTGTCCAGTCCTATCAACCCAGTACTTTGAGGAAACAAGCATGTCTTTTTCTCTGAAGAATCTTCTTTTACAGTCGAAACTTTGAGCATCTACATCTATAAACAAAGGTCCAGTCCTGGGCAAACTATCAGGTAACTTCAGTTAATACTATTTCACAGAATAAAACATCTTTTCTTCATCTATTTGTGTTCTACATTCTTAGCAATTTAGATCATGACTATGTTTGAATGGGCATCAGCTGTAAACTTAGAATCTATACTTTTTCCTTTGTTCCACACCAGCTGGTTTCTTCTTTCAAGCTTAGACCCACATGGGCTAAGCCAGCAGATCAGGGATCCTCAGAACTCCTTACTCCATAAACCAGCAACCTTCTTCACTTAACAGTTCATCATACTAGATTGTCAGTGCTGAAGAAACATGTCCAAAATCAGCCTGTCTCTTCATTGCCGCATATCTCACGTCCACTCATCTAGTGGATCCAGGTGGTCACCACAAGTCAAACATACACACCGTCTTCCATGAAGTCCTGGAAAGTGAGTTCTGTTGTTTCCCATTTCCACTCATCAAGGAGACCCAGGTGATCACCACGAGTTAAACATACTTATCAGCTTTCTTTAACATTAAGTCCTAGATAGGATGCTGTAATTGTCGTCAGCTTTATCTTGCCTCAGTTTATTGGTAAAATCTCTTTTACTACTTGTCTTCTTTCAAATGTAATATTTTCTAGGCTAAGCTCCTCTCTGTACCAAATTCTGCTACTAATTACAAACTTTTCAGAGAAAATTTTGAATATCCAGTTAATATTCAACTGGCTTAAATTTTTCCTCTAAAATACATTGTGTCCCATCAGTATACTATCCAATATTCAGTAACAGTACTTAGAAGAATACATTAATGTCTATCAAGTACATCATAGATTATATATCTCAATGTAACAAGATCCACTAGAGTTAAATCAACAAAAATCATAATTTTATACTATATCTTAACATTAAATCAATAAAAATTGTAATAATTTTTCAATATATTTTAATGTTACATATCCTCATTATTTTTTTGTATCAACATTATGACATAGAAATGGGGGAAAAGCAATATATATATATATATATATATATATATATATACTTTTAAAGAAATTATCAGTTTCATCTTCATTCACTTACCTTTTTTGTCTCAGACCATAAAGTGGCTTCTCAACTTTTCTTTCAATCTTAGTAGCAGCAAAATAACCTTTTGGGTTTTCTCCCCAAACTTATAGAGATAAACAGTAACCATTTTAACTCTCCATCTTCCCAAGCCCCACAATTACCAAACCAAACAATGTTTCTATGAATCTGGAGCAATGAATCAGACCACTTCAGACATGAGTTGTAAAAAGAGCCATGGTAATGTGGAGAAGGTTGAGTCTGACTTCTACCTGCTTCAGAAAGGGGAACTTTATTTTTCAATAATACCCATAGTACTATGCAGATAACTCCATGGTCAGATATAGCAACTCCTATGCTCCTGCATGTATTTCTATGAATCATTGGGTCCAATGTTTGTTGCAGCTTGACTAACAGACTTTATACACAGTTCATGAATTTATTAGGGAAATAAGTTGGAGAGTGGAGGAGACAAAAATATCACACAATGCAAGTCTAGAACTGCAGTCCAGTAGTCCCAAGCAAGATAACAGGAAAACATAGTTCCTCAAATTAGTTCAGACAGCTTCTCACTCAACAAGTGAATATCTAGGTTATGTTCAGCATCACTAAAACAATGTCTGGATTCCTCAGTCATCTAGCAAACTTTTATCTCAGCGCAGTCGGGCAGCTTTTTATTCAATAATCCAGCAAGCAAAACTTTTAACTGAGGCTCCATCTCCAGGGTTCCTCTTGTTATGCCTTGCCACAGTGACTTCACAGTAGTGCCACAGTTTTGTCACCCTCTCTCTACCACTGTCTTTTGGTGTCTTTACAGTTCCCCTATAGTGTACAAAACACTCTCTCTTTTATTGGTCCCATAGCTGCTGAGTATTTGAAAGACCATATGTCTACAGTTAAGGTAGCTGCCTCAACTGGGTGTAACATAGTGACTAGAAAAGTCAATTTTCAAGCATTTTGACACCATACCTAGCCATTTATTTTCAAAGGCTTACAGGCTTGGAAACTATATAAAACACTTTCTGATTACATGGATTCACCATGAGTCAACTAACTTAATTGCACTGGTAAATAGTTTCAGGTAAGAAATTCTTATCCACAAGTCTTAAGTATTCTGAATGTTATAAAATAAATTAGTCTAAATTAATTTTTTATTTGTAATTCTCATATATTAAACACATTATTGCTTTATTTCCTTTTTTATATTTTAGGTACTATACTTAGTCTTGTAAATTTGAGCATCGAGCAATTTAAGAATGACTATCATCTGAAAAGTACTGATATCGTATCACTGTCATTCACCAATAGTATTTCACTTTCTCTGGGAGCAATATTTATAACATTCTATGGAAGTAAAGGGAACAAACCAAGATGGCTTGCATTTTCTGCAGTTTTAGTAGGAGTAGAAGCACTTTTATACTGTTGGCCATACATTTCTGGCAGAAATTATCAAATGAAGAGAGAAATTGAAGGTAAGATTTTAAAATACACTGCCATATATCAAATTATCATGGATTCAAAGAATATATAATAAACTGTGATACTTAATATGTTTCCATTATTTTACCCAATCATATATACATTTCTATTTATATGACCAAGTGTGTTAAGCTAGCTAATTATAGTTTTCTCATAAACATTCTGTAAGAAAAAGAATTTTTTATATCGCAATTTTTTTCTGTACCAAAAAGAATTTGTTGACATTGATATGTTTCAGGAAGTAGCATATGATAAAGAGCCCCAATGGTTATGATGGAGGATGTTCAAGCTGCATTGAAGACACTGTCAAAAAACAAGGCCCTGTGGATTGATGGAATACAATTAATATGTTTTAAGTAAAAGATGCATCCCTAAATTTGCTCACTAGTCTTTCCAGGAAATTTGCAGAGGCACTGCCTGGCCAACTGAATGGAAGAGATCCATATTTGTTCCTATTCCCAAGAAAGGTGGTCCAACAGAATATGGAAATTATTAAACAGTATCATTAATATCATATGTAAGCAAAATATTACTGAAGATCATCCAAACAAAAACAAAAACAAAAAGAAAACCAACAACTACTAGAACGGTACATTGATAGAGCTACCAGAAGTTCAAGCTGGGTTTAGAAGAGGGTATGGCACCAGGGATATTACTGCTGATGTCAAGTGGATTTTGTCTGAAAGCAGAGGATACCAGAATTATGTTTATTTGTGTTTTATTGACCATGCAATGGAATTCATCTGTGTGGATGATAAACATTGAGAAGAATGAGAATTCCATGACACTTAATTTTGTTCATATGAAATCTGTACCTAGACCAAGAAGCCGTTGGCTGAACAGAGTGGGGGGACAGTGCATGCTTTAAAAATCCCAATAGGTGTGGATCAAAGCTGTATCCTTTCTCCATACTGATTCAACCTGTATGCTAAGCAAATCGTTCAAGAAGGTGGGGGGGGGGTCCATGAAGAAAGCATGTGACATCAGAATTGGAGGAAGGTCCATCATGAGCCTGTCTTATGCAAATGTAACAACTGTGCTTGCTGAAAGTGAAGATGACTTAAAGAGCTTGCTGCAGAATATCACTCAGTGGATTTATTAAGTTGTGGATATAAGTAAAATAAAATAACTCAATCTTTTTTCCACCTATCCTTATAATTCCTATTGGCCTAGTTGTGAGGATTTTTGCTTTCTTAATGTTGAGATATAATCCATATTAAAGGATGTTGTTGTTATTGTGTCCTTTTGAGTCGGTACTGACTGATAGGAGCCTCTCCACTGCCTCCACTACTGGAGGATCAGGTATGAGTTGGTCCTGAATTGACAGAATAAACAACAACAACAGCCTTCATTTAGATTTCATTTCAACATAAAAAAGGGCAAAAATCCTCATGTACAGGACAAGTAGGCATTATCATGATTGTTGTTGTTGTTTTGTACCAAGGAGTCAGAACTGACTCATAGCTGAAAAAGGCAGTTAATCACATTGAGGAGACTGTGGAGCAGCTGATGGTCTTGAACCAATCACCTTCAGAATTGCAGCCCAGCTTCTTGACTTTATGCCACCAGAGCTCCAATTATCATGACAGATGGGGGGGGGGAAATTGAAATAGTTAACCATTTTTACTTACTTGGATCCACAGTCAACACCTTTGGTACCCACAATCAAGCAGTTAAAAGATGTGTTGCATTGAAAAAGTCTGCAAAAAACCCAAAAAACCCCCAAAATAAAAACAAATTTAAAAATTAAAAAAAAAAGAAAAAGCCTGCAAAGACCTCTCCAAAGTATTATGGAACAGTCAATTTAATGACTAAGGTGCACCTAATTCAAGCTGTGGTCTTTTTCCATCACTTGCTATGCATCTTACAGCTGGACAATGAATAAGGATGATAGAAGAAATTTATTTCCTTTGATTTGTGGTATTGACAAAGAATACTGAACATCCCATGAACTGCCTAAAGAACAAATAAATATGTCTTGGAGAAAGTGCAGCCAGTGTGCTCCCCAGAGGTAATGGTGGAGAAGCTTCATTCCACACATTTAGGTATATTGTGGGAATTGTTATTCTTGTAAAGGGACATCATGCTTGGAAAGGTGGAAGATTAGCAAAAGAAAGAAAACCCTCAATGTAATGAATTGGCACAATGACTGTAGTGGTAGACTTAAGTGTGATGCAGATGATGAGGGTGGCACAGGATAAAGCAAGGTTCAGATTTGTTTTCATATAGTTTCTCTGAGTTGTACTTACTCAATGGCCTCTAACAATAGCAGCAAGAGCAATAACCATTTAAGGAGCTCTGGTGGTCTATTGGTAAGGAGTTGTGCTGCCAACCAAATAAGAAATGGTTTGAATCCATCTGTTGCTTGGCAGTAGAAAAACAAGTAACTTCCTACCATGTGATTTATTGCCCAAGAAAACCCACTGAAAGGTCATCTGTGAGTTAGCTCCAACTTGATAGTATTGAGTTGTTGAATAAACACGTATATTGTTGTAATGTGCCGTTGACTCACTCGTGACTCATAGTGACCCTATGTACAACAGCCCTAAACTCTACTCTAGCCTGTGCCAATCTCACTGCCTCTGACACACCCATCCCGATTACCCCAGTCACTGAATCAATCCACTTCATGGAGGGTCTTCCCCTTCTTCACTGTCCCTTCACCCTCCCAAGAATGATGTCCCCCTCCAAGGACCTCTCCCTCCGTACAACATGTCCAAAGTATGTCAGATGAAGCCTCAGAATGCTTCCTTCCAAGGAGAAGCCTGAGTTAACCCTCTCCGGGATAAATCTGTTTGTTTTCTTGACAGTCCAGCGTATATTCAATACTCTTCTCCAGCACCACAGATCAAAGGAATGAATTCTCCTTCTATCCTCCTTAGTCATTGTCCAACTCTCTGATGCATAACAAGTGATTGCAAAGACCATAGCCTGTATCAGACGCACCTTAGACTCCAGAGTGACACCATTGCTCTTCAGTACCCTGAAGAGGTCCCTAACAGCAGACTTTCCCATCGCAATACGTTTTTTTTGTTTTTTTTTTGTGTTTTTTTTTTTTTATTTCCTGGCTACTGGTGCCAAGAGTGTTGACCATGGAGCCAAGCAAACTAAAGCTGTGAACAATCTCAGTCTCTTCACTATCCATCCTGATGCTGCCAGTTGGTCCAGTGGTGAGAATCTTTGTCTTCTTGACATTGAGCTTCAATCCATATTGAAGGCTGCAGTCATTGATCCTCTGCAGCAAGCATTTCAGGTCCTCCTCAGTTTCAGCAAGCAGGGAATAAACATTCATGATAAGCATTTTTATTCTTGCATCCATCCGTTCTTATGCGTGCTTTCATGGAAGAGATATGTCGTGGTGGTGGTGTTTTTAGGAGTCATCAAGTTGAGTAGGACCCATAGTGATGCTATGAACAACAGATATGAACCCTGCCCTAGCCTGTGCCATCCGCAGACTTCCTAACACTAGAGTTCATTGCAAGATTCACCATCTCAATCTACCTGGTTGAGGGTCTTCCTCTCGTGGCTGATCCACCACCTCTCTGAGCATCATGTCTCCTCCAAGGAACAGCTCCTCCTAGCAACATGCCTGAAGTATGTGAGGTGAGGATATTTAAAATATATATTTCATGGAACTTCTTCACTTTTGCCAATTTCATATGTGGTATACATTTGATGTATATCATAGCCTCCAACAGTCCTTTACGTTTAATTGTATTATTCTGACTCCTGCATGCAAACCTACAAGCAAAATACAAATGGAAATTTACACACACAAAAAGCAAGAGAAGACCTTTTCTAACTATGTCTACCATTTTAATATTGGCGCTGCTTTCTGCAAAAGTACTTTGAATATTAAGATTGGTGATTTCCTCCAATTTATTCCATAGTATTTTCACTTCTTATACTCGACAAAGGACTATTTAAAATTTTTATATGGCACCATTTTTGAGGTACGTGTAGTATATAGACTTCTAAATGTGTTGAAATGTATTAACTCATTTTGGCACCTTTACATTGATTTTCACCAGAATACTGATTTAAAAAAATATGAGGGGAAAAAGTCCCATATGTATACCCACAAATATACATTAATTAGGTGTGTTTATAAAGCATGTTTATGATGTGTGTTATTTCTATCCCTCCTTCCATCATATTCTGGTAAGAAAGAGTAATATATTAAAAATCCTGACTGAAAAAGAATTAAAGAGTAGAAATTCTTTCCTTTTCTGTCTTTGCACCATCTGTATTCCACATATTTTATGTCCTGCTTGTGGTCATGAGCCTGCCATTTATTGAACAACACCCAATTTCGTGTATTTAGAAGGCCCTGTGGCGCACTGTTTAAATGCCCAGCTACTAACTACAAGGCTATCAGTTTGAACCATCTGATGTATTAATGGGTGTTTTTATGTCCAGCTTTAGTGAAAAAAGAAGTGAAGTAAATAACTCTCACATTAGAAAAGTTCATGTTTAAAAAAAAGGCTCATTTCATACACTTATATATTCAGGCAGGTATTTGACTTATTTAAAAAATCAGTGCATATGCACTTATTTTATACATTGGGTTCACAACTCAGTTTATAATTATTTACCTATTTATTGATAAACATATCACCTATTATTTTTCCTTTTCCCCCTCTTTCTTTCTGAATATTTTAGTACTTTGTTCTCTCATCTACACCCTTTAGTTAGCTGTTATGCATCTCTTATAAGTGGTCTAAACTTCTTTATACATTTAATTACTACCACATTCTACCTCCTTTCCCTGCTTATCTTACCCTATATAATTTTGTGAATTGATGACATGTTCATCTCAACCAATAATTAGATCTTTTGTTCTGTCAAATATGTTGGAGGTTAAAATAAGAGTTTTCTTTACAATGTCATGAGAATATTTGAAATATATTCTGAGTATTGAACGTACCACAGACTGCCAAGAGAACAAACAGGTATATTCTGGAAAAGGTAAAACCACGTTTCTCCCCTTATC